GAGATTATTGTACAACAGTATTTGGTCAATAATCTCAAATTTGGAGGTATTTTTGGAATCTCCATTTTGGTGATTATTCCACCTACAATCCAATTATTTCCGTATGTGAGAAGGGGACTTGTCAAAATTTTGACTTTTCCTTTCATCACCTTCTCAATACTACCCTTTCCTACCCTTTCTCCTTTGACTCCAACACGTCTCATTTCTTTTTTTTCACCTACTTCAACTTCTTTTTTCTTTGTTCTTCTTTCACTGACCTTGCCTTCAACTCCTCACCTCGTTTTGTATCATATGTCTGGTGTGCCTTGTATGTATCATGTGTATTGTATGTATTGTATGTATTGTATGATTTGAATGATTTGAATGTAGGTTTTGTATATTTGTATATTTTGTATATTTTTTGTGTATTGTACATGGTGTATCATACCACACATTGAAGACATTCTTGACATACCATAACTACAACACATGCAAGGCATACAAGGCATATGATACAGATGATACATATATTACAATACATACAATACATAATTGCATGAATGCACCATTTACTGTAATTATCTACACTTCCCTCTGCCAAAATCAACCCACAGTCAGTCCAAGTAATTGATACTAAAGGCTATTTTGCACTTACTGGCCACAGAAAATGACTTGGCTTTGATTGGGGTGGATCCACCATTTCCTGAACATCCAAAATTGGCCAAAGCTACCAATAGCTGCCACTGGACCGGTGCCTGCTTACAATGAGAATTGTTTTGAAATACTCAAGATGATCCAAATTATTTTGTGTAGTAATTTGATAATGTCAGGCTTTGGCATGCATGCTTAAGACAAGTGTCAAAGCAAGATGATTAGTTCCAGACATACAGAGTCATTTCAAAGAAGCACAGACATTGGACTTACCACACTTAGCCAAGTTTGTTCAGTTTCAGCAAACCAACCTTGAAATGTTGCAGCTTTTGAGCTAACAACACCCATGCCGTACCGCTCTGCTGCGCTATAACAACCATTTTCCCGAGCGCAGTGATTTGGCGCTATTAGAAAATCACTATTGCTACACTTTTTTTTTGGAAGCGCTATGGGACTCCAGAGCGGTGTGGCTTAAAAAACCGCTCCGCTCCGCTATGTTTGAAATTGGGACAAGGTAGTGTCCAAAAGCGCTGTCAAGCAGTCTTTTGGGAGTCAAAGGCGTGTTTTCTACTTCTTCAATTGGATCTTCATTACTTTGATTCCTTACAGATTGTATCTCTAACATTAACTCAAACAATCATTATCTTTTCATACTACATCACATGTAATTGAAAAGGATTTAGATTGGCTTGTAAGCTTGAATTTGGTGGTTGTCAATGAACCTCAATCAGCTAAACCAGGTTAGTCATCATTGTCACCATTTTTTGGCAGGAATCACAAGCTAATTGGCTTAATATCCTTGTTCTAGCTATCCAATTATTAACATACTTGATCCTAGCTTTGATAAACAAACAATGATCCTTGAAAGTTACCAAATACCTCAACTCCTCAACCTTATGGCAAAGGACTTATCAAGGGACAGGTGAGTTAGATCAATTTCTACTTGACCTACATTCTGACCTTTTCTTCTCTTATTCCTTGTTAGATATCAATAATATTTTGATCAAATCCAAAAAGAGAATGCAAAAAGTGTTAGGTTGTATAACTATTGGGTAAGCGCAAGTAGACATTTAATGCCTTTGCTTTCAGGATAATTTTCCAGTTTCTTTTAAAAATCCACTCATCAAAGTGGTGATGTTAAAAGATCAAGTCGAGATGGATATGAGAGGTTGATTTTCTGCTGGACAAAAAGTTTTAGCCTTGATCATCATTTGATTGGCTTTGGCTGAATCTTCTGGGATTAATGTTGGTTTCTTGCCTTGGATGAACCTACGAGGAATCTTGATAAAGATAATAACAATGCTTTGGCTAATGCCCTTTCTGAGTGGGTTGCAAGTAGTGGAGGCCTTTGTGTAACAATTCTAATTACTGATCACTGTTGGCGGTTTGCTTATCTACTAGCGAAATCAGCGGCGGGCGCCGCGGTTGGGATAGACTTGCATCTCAACCGGAGCCTGCGCGCGCAAGACCTGTCCTTGTTGCATATAACATGTTGTTTTTCCCTAGGGTAATCTCTCTTCAGGGTCAAGCGAACCCACTCTATGTTTTGCTTCGAAACAATTTGGAGTGTCAAAGTATTGAATCTATGTCATTGCAAGGCTTAATCCACAACCTTAATCAGAGAAAAACAACCAGGTACCATTTGTCAATTCTAATTACATGACAGTCACCGAATAACGTATTTAACAAAATCAATCCATTAGAACAGGATGATATACTATGTTGTTAGTTGCCAAGTCCCCTGACTCCGATCTGATACATACATGGACATTGGTCGCATTTGTACAACGAGAGAGTGCTACGTATAGCTGCCCATGAGTGAATACAGGTTCCGGCAATAAGACCGTGACTTTTTCCAAGCTCTGACCTTGGCTTTTGTTTATTGTCATACAAAAGGCCGGCACAATGGGGAACTGGTATCGATTAAAGGGAATAGGACAATCATCATTACCTTCGTGATGAAGTTTCATCTTCGGCAAGCTGATTGCCGTGCCTTTTAGTTCGCCAGTTAAGATTCGACATTGAAGCGCGTGTTCCGCCCAATCTGTAATCAGGAGCCGAGTTCCATTGCACAGGCCTTCTCCTATTTGCAAATTTCGTAAGATCATAACGGTTGCTCCAACTTTTAGTTTCAGGATATGAGAAGGAAAGCCCGGGAAGTTGAAGGTATTTAGAACCTCCGGTGATACCCCATCAAAGAAGTCTTCGTCCATTGTATCGTTTGAAATTGAAGTTCGATATAAGCTCGGTAGCGATTGCATGACGAAACTGTTAAGTGTGTTCACCGTGGCATTCAAAGGGGTGATTAGGCACCGAGAAGCGTACAGATTTGTGAGTGCACTCCAGTCTTGTGCAATGATCAGGTCCCGAGTCGCTTCGTATTCTTCCGCGATTAACGTAGGATCGAACTGAATCCTTGGTTCTAATACTGAAACGTTACAATGTTGCAAGTCAACTTCCGCTACGTAATCGTCCTGTAAGGCTCCAGATCCAAGATCTAATAACCATTTCGCGAAGTTGATATTAAGTGGGTTTTGATGAGCTTCGAGGCCTCCAAGACGTATGTTGACCGTCAACTGGAATTTATGAATTGTGTCCCACAGGAAGGATCCTTTCAAAGTCGCGTTGGCTTGATCCAACAGGTTACCTCTTCAGACTATAGGTAAAGTTTGTCGGAAATCACCTTAACACAAACCAGTGTCAGTATTGTGTTGACATAAGCCTCAAAACAGGGTATGACATTCGTTACCAACTCAACTCACCTGCGAATAATACAACCTTGCCTCCAAAAGGACGGTTCACACCCGTTAAGTCACGAAGGGTTCGGTCCACGCATTCAATCTGATGACGGTGTTGCATCGCGACCTCGTCCCAAACGATGAATTTCACCTCCTCGAGCATTTGCCCCAGACCCGAATTCGGTGGCATGCCACGAACCACCATATCACAGGTGGTTCAATAGTCCATGAAGGGCTTGCGCGGTCCGTGACAGGGTGGCCTGTGAAATCCGCACGAGAAGAATGTAGAAACATTCCAAAGCCTTGGGCAAGAATTTTCACCCACTGCTCACGACTGGTCAAGATACTTGACACGCTCCGCAAGTCCTCCAAGAGATCACACAACACCAATTGTGTGTCTAGTCTTTTCGCTGAAGGCACTCAGAACGTATTCAGGCGAACACTCCAAAGACTCAAGTTTAGGATCAAGGCAAACTTTCAAGAGACAGTATAAAATCCCAGAATCCCATCTTTAATTTCTTGAAGAGCTCAATTCATCATGGAGGACGCGGTACGAGCAGCAGAAGCAAGAGCGGCACAGCTCATTGTAACGAGATCCCGGTCAACGGCTCTAGGACAACCACCGGGACCCCCACTGGAAACAAGCCGCAGAACAGCAACCAGACCTCCAGCCCAACCTTCGACAAATCATCCCACGTAGACGCCATCGATGAGGAAGTCGAGATAGAAGATGAGGTCATGGAGGAAGCCACACTCCTCCTACAAGGCTCAACCATCGGATCGGATGAGGACGATCGTGAATCGTGGCAACCACCAGTAAACAAGGGGAAAGGTAGAGCGGGGGATAACACGAGCCCCACCCCTTCAGAAGGGGGATCCATGCGAAGACAAATGGAATCAGGTAGGCATCTCTTGATTATCACATCTAACATCTGTTTTCTATAACAAAACCCCACAGTCAGAATCACACCGTCTATAAATCTTTTTCACTCAAAAAAAAAAAAAAAAAAAACGAACACAAAGACACTGAGGGGTCAGGGAGCTCAGCTCAGGAGCCTGCCGGTATGATGATCGGGGAGCCGAAGGCTCATGATCCCGCGGGACAACCAGGGGGCAAAGAGCCCACGATCCTGAAGGAGAACCGGGGGGGCATAAAGCCTAAGATCCCACAGATTGACCGGGGAGCGAGATATGCTCATGATCCCGCGAGACAAAAAGAAAGGGGAGCCTAGATATGCTCATGATCCTGCACAGAGAGCACATACCTGAACCCTGGAGGGGAGGCTAGACCAGCTGTAGCACCAATTGATCCGTGGCAGCGAGAAATGCAAAGCAACGAGGATGAGAATCTGACGCAAACGAACTTCACATCCAGCAGACACTCACAGCGTAATTGACCTGAACAAGAGGGCCGACCTACTGTACGAGGCAGGACGGTGTAGAGAAGCTGCAGCCCTACTTGACCACTTCGAGAACTCTCGAGTGGGAAGCGTCGTTAACGAAAGAGGAGAGCGGGTCCCAGCGGCAGGAGGGAGCGGCCTAGCGAGATCACGCCCGTATAACCTTTTGGTGGAAGATCTTTCCTCCAGATCGGACAGCGTAGGCCACATCCCACTTGCAAAAAGGCAGAGAATGGAGGAGGTACTCCCGACACCGGCCCCAAGACGGGTCGACTCATCGTCTTTCCAACAGCTAGATATTCCAACCAATCCACGGCCAACTCTGCAAGCACACATGCCAACACCCCACCCTCACACTCGCCAACCGAGAGTCGAACCTGATCCACACAGACATGTTGACGTCCAGTTCGAGCTGAGACGTGCCGGTCAAGGAACACGACCGACAGCGAGGCAGGACCCACCAGATGAGTATTACCATCAATTCAACACTCATCGACAGTCCGTCCACTATGAACATCAAGGCCGTACACCCTCCCGTCTTGGAGACCACCAACGGACAAGATTGCCTCCTCGCAACCCACCTCCAGCCCGTAATCAACAATGCTCTAACCAAAGGGAAAACGGAAGATCACAATCAGACCTAGATGAAGAGGAACAAGTTAGAAGTTTCATGAGTTCCAAGAAAGGGCGATTCGTGCTGAGGAACGGAGATGTGGTTGAAAACGGTAGACTCTTAATCGCAGACGAATCCAAAGAGATGGAGAAAGGTCTAAACCAAATGTCACCAGTGCTAACCCACTGGCTACGCACCTTCAAATCGTATATCCCCCTCACGGCATTCAACAAAATCTTCCTTGCCGGCGACCAAGCAGAATGGAGCCGCAGGAAAGCCCCATCTGAGTCGAAGATCGAGGACGGCAGCGCGTCACTAAGGGTCTACGGTGGCGCGCCACCGCCAGATGAACTGCTAATGCAATTCGAAGATTGGATTGATGTGATGACGTTGTTCATTAGATACGTGACGGACGCAGGGTGGCAAACATTACCCGAGCGATTCGAAGGACACAGGAGAGTGGTGATGGAAATCCGCGAGCATTACGGGTGGATGATCGCGTTGCGTTACTGCATTAGGATACGCCAGGGAGTGATGCGGGACACAATTGACGGAAAAATCAAGAATTTCAGTCACCTACAGTCAGCCATCTTTGAAGAAGTCAAGATTATCGCAGACTCAAGACAAGAGAGAGCTTACAGGACGAACCCTTACGTCGAGAACGGCCCGCTATCCCACATGAACCCGATGACGGGCCTTGCCAAGCCTTCCGCACTCCCATCATCCAAACGAACCGCGGCAGAGACGTTTCCAGCGAAGACGGTGAAGGCAGAACCTACATCAGGGGACTGGATCCCATCCGCAAAGTGGCGAACCATGTCAAAGGACGAGAAAACGGCAGCGAAGAGAGACCAGCAGAGAAGCTCACGAAGACGCGATGATGATAGAGGTCGGGAGAAGGACCGTTATTACGAAAGATCAGATTACTGTGATCGGGGTAAAGATTACCAAAAAAGGTCTCCTTCAAGGAGTCGTAGCCCCCGTGGAGGGAGAGGAAAGGGTAGAAACCGTAGATCGTAAGCTACCAGATGTAATGAAATTGAATTGAATGAGTAGAACACAATTGTGGGACATACAAGAGTATGAGACATGAGAACCGTGAGACTTACCAAAGTGCCAATTGCCTTCCCTTCCGACCCCAACCCCCCCAATCCCAAAAAAAAAAAAAAAAACCATACTCGCAACTAGATCACCCCTGGCTCCTAGCCAACCAAGCCCCGTGAGGAAAGGAGCTAGGCTGAGATGGCCAACAGCCGCCTCTTGTGAAATGAACCTACCAGTGTGGGAGAGGGAGTTCAGGCGTGCAGGCCTACTAGGAAAATTCAGAGACATCTTGACAGGCCTGAGACATGGTTTCCACCAAGGAATCAAGGAAGCAGAGGTGTCCGGAGTTCCCTTCTTTTGCCCGCCCAACCACGCATCAGCTCTAGAAGCAAAGGGAAAGATAGAAGAAAATTTCAAAATCGAACTTCAAGCGGGGAGAATGGCAGGTCCATTTTCTAAACAAGAGGCCTACAAAAGACTCGGATTCTTCCGCACTAGCCCAATTGGAGCGGTTGTGAACGGCAATGGGTCAACGCGTCCCATAAACGACCTTTTGTTTCCTAGAAACGACCCAAACGTGAAGTCAGTTAATACAGGAGTCAACAAAGAAGACTTCGAAACCACTTGGGACAACTTCCAAGTAGTAGCGGATTTCCTAAGCAGGCTGACGGAGGACGTACTTTTAGCGATCTTCGACTGGGCGAAAGCATATCGCCAAGTCCCGACATCTCCAGATCAATGGCGATTTCTTATGATACTCACGTTTGATGATCAAGTAATCCTCGACATGCGGATTACCTTTGGGGGAGTGGCCGGCTGCGGTAGCTTTGGCAGAGTAGCAGACGCCTGGAAAGCGGTCATGCTGCATCGGTTCCCCCTCAAGGCAGCCTTCCGTTGGGTTGATGATACCATGTTCGTGATATCAAAGAAGAACGTCGCCGGGGTGACCTTACACGACATCTCGAAGCTATCACGAGAGATGGGTGTAGTAGAAAACGTAGAAAAAGCAAGCGACTTCCAGGAGGAGCAGCGCTATCTTGGATTCATCTGGAACGGTACAGACAAATCAGTGAGGCTACCAAGGGAGAAATTAGAAGAACGTATCAACGAACTCACCAAATTCTTGGCAGAAAAATCCCACCGTTTCAAGCCAGTTCAACGCATGGCAGGCAGGTTGAACCACACAGCAATGGTCTTGCCACAAATGCGATGCAACACAGTCGATATATACGCCTGGCTGGCCGAGTGGAAACACCAATCAGCACTAAGAGACACCCCGGACACGGTACGAGAGGACTTACAAAAATGGCTCAAGGCATTACGTACAGCGGAAACGCGACGACTGATAATCAATTCCGAAATCATCAACGTCGGGTGGGTTGGCGATGCGTCAACATCATACGATATCGGCGTGATAATCGGAAAGAAATGGTGTAAATTTTGCCTTAGAAGTGCCTGGAGAGAACTGGCACGGGATAACACGCGAGGCATAGCCTGGGCTGAGACAGTGGCAGTCCGGCTGGGCTACCTAATGCTGAGGCAGTTGATGTCAGTAAAAGGGCGGAGATTTCTGATGTTGACAGATAATACAGTAACAGAATTCGCAATAAGGAATGGCAAATCGAGAGATAAGCAGGTGAACAGGGAGTACTCACAGATTCAGGACCTACTGATAGAAGACCAATCGTGCATCGAAGTGAGGAGAGTGACGTCGGAGGACAATGCAGCCGACCTCCTGTCCAGAGGATACGATTCGTCGAAACGTGCATCAAACATGATACACGTAAGGGTACCACGGGACCTCGAACGATTCGTAATCCAAGAAGAGTGAAATCCCGATCCACCCCTCCCGCGGACAACCACAAACGAGAACCCAGATGTCCTTACCAAAACACTTTGACGACGCAACACGTAATGCTTCAAGAGCAGGTTGACATGCAGCTGCAGGAAGCTGGGCGCAATCCACATTAGCTGGTTATAGTTCAGGGATGACGAAATTCATCGAATTCAAAGAACGTACCTCGGTCGGGTTTAATCCAGACGAGCCGATCTCGGATGAAGACATTTACGACTTCATAGCATGGGCAGGAGACCGTAGTGGGAAAGAGAGCGACGGACCATCACGCCCCATCTCGTCAGTCACGACCAAGAAATACCTGGATGGCATACGGGCGTGGCATATCGTCCGCCATACATCTAGACCAACGGCCGACTCGGAAGTCGTGAAGACGCTATTAACAGCTTCCAAGAGGGATGAAGAAGAAAGAGTGTTAGTGACAAAGAAGAACCCCATTAAGATACGTCAACTATTTGATCTCCTACGAGCAACATACGACGGTTCCGAAACGAATCAACTCATAGGCACAATCGGTCTCGTGGCTTTTTGGGGCATGGCGAGACTCGGAGAGCTACTCAGAACATCAGTCGAAAATGGGGCCCTGTTGAGGAAACACGTGGAATTCGGAGGTAGAGAAGGAAGGATCTACGTTAGACTACACTTACGAAAGGCAAAGACAGCCAAACCGGGAGAGATTCAGATAATCCACCTACAACAGCAGTATCATATCCTAGACCCCGTGGTAGCATTGCGTCGTTGGTTGAAGAGGACTAGTGGAAGAGACCCAGACACGATACTCTTTGCGACGACGGAACGGGGAGAAATTAGACCCTTGACGAAAACCAGATTCGTAAACGGGGTAGGAAAGATTTGGGGGAAAGCTAGCCTAGGTACATGGACTGGCCATTCGTTTCGAGTTGGCGGAGCGTCACTGAGATTCAATTTAAAAACACCGATGGAGAAGATCGCCAAACTAGGTCGTTGGAAGTCTCTGACTTACCTACATTACCTTAAAGCGTACAATCAAGAGGATTTGGAGGATACTGTGAACTTATTAGACGCTACACATGAACCGGACTGGCCTACGAAAATGGAGGTACTCTAAATTGGTGTGAACGAACAAGAGAGGCAGTTAGACGGGGGAATTTTTGAGAATCGAAATAGAGATTTGTGAACACAACGGCATGACGCCAACACAGCAAGACGCTGACCACACGAGATCTTGATTAGAGTTCAGAACCTTATTGAGGAAAATCAATAAGAGGTGGCGTTGAAGGAGATCGACGGTAAGTATTGAGAAGAAATGAGAAGACCCCAGAGCAAGTGAGATGCCGGCCTGGTGTGCGTATTTGGGGGTGTGCCCGAGGCTCAGGACGCCCGACCAGGCTTCTGAGGAGTGGGTGATCGACCACACACAAGGCCAAAGACCCAGACACCAGACAGGGGGGGGGGCGGGCTCGGGATGGAGGACTCCAGCCGGGGCCGTTTGGTTTAAACGAACCAAACCGTTGGTTCAAAGAAACCAACCCCGGGCCGGGGCCCTTCACTTCCCCAACCCGCGCACTCCTGACATCATGTAAGGAGTACGCTCATCAGGGTGACGTCTCGAAGAAGTCAAGCACTCACACATCACTAAGACAGTGATGCTAGCTCAGTTGGAGAACGGGCGTGGCCCGTTCTCGAGTCCACCCCCACATGCCATAGGAGCAAGTGGAGAATGGACTGGACATACTGAATCGTCGAAAATGGGAATTGGGATTTTGAAGGTACTGTGTGCTGTACGTCCATGCAAAAGAAGTAGCGAGGCGATTCCGGCGGCCGAAACTGCTTGGAATTTGATATGGTGTCCATTGCAGTAATGAAGTATTGTATTCAGTACAAATGTTTTGCCCGTACCTCCGGGTCCGTCCAGGAAGCCTAAATAGGGTTGGTCCTCCTCGATCGCTTCACAAAGATTATTTACCACATTTCGTTGTTCGTTGGTTAATTTTTCTGACATCGCTTCGTATTTTCTTCGACTTTCACTCGGATCCACAAACCGACTTCGGTTACCATCCTCCCCATTGGGCAAGTCGAGCTCTAGAAGCAACTGGCGGTCAACTGGCATTAGTCCCACAGCTTCAAGACTACTTTCCATACTGTTGATGGTTTTCTCAAGCAGAAAAAGCGCATAATTTTGTATATGATTTATACTTGGTTGTATATGAGGGACTAATGCCGCGAGTTTTCTTTCACAATCATCTGATAAATGAACAATATGCTCAGCCCAAAGCTGCAAGGGATTGCTCGGTGCGCTGTGACATAGAATGATGGCAAGCATTTGCCGTAGCTGGTGGCCTGTTTTCCACACAGCTGCTTCCGTAAGAGATAGATGATAGTGCCTGTCGTTCAATAACAGACCGTGTTGATCCGCAGCTTCACGAAATGAATTGTAGACAATCCCATTAACAGTTCAAAGTGCGTTGAACAAAGTTGGGCCATGTACATGTTGCAACAATAAACGTAAGTAGTAAACATCCCCCCGTCTCACTCCCGCGTAGTAGATCCGCCCTATAGATTGAAGTTTGTTTTTCCTCGCTTGTAATCTTTTTGTTGTTTTTACCCATCTGAAATATTTAGGTACTTCTTGGTACTTCAACGTACGGATGGTTAACTGAGATCTAGGTAGTTTACAATTCTCTGCACAGAGTCTAAAAAATTCTGTCAGAGTCGTTCGTTGGGCTCGGCCAGTATCCATTGCTCTGCGAAGTCCTGCTTCATCCAGGTAATAAACTGTTTGTGCGTCCTCGAGATGTAAATTGAGTCTTTGTACAGCTGGATATCTACCCAAAAGTTCGTATTGGAAAAGCCTCCATACCGCTAATAAAAGTAAATCAGTTTCCTCTCCCTCTAGTCATTAAGTAAAATATTTACCTTCAGGTGCACTGAGAAAGCGTGCGTTCAGAAATGCCAATACTTCGTCTCTATCTCCTGTCTCCTCGACATTCGCCATTGTACGATCGTGGCCCTTGAGGATGTATTTAAATAAATATTTCACCGCTCGTAGACTGGCTGCAACCTCTACGTTCATATGACATTGATATTTTAAGAGTAGATACCTATTGTATGGTACCACACTACCATTCTCGAATCTCGTTCCCCCGTTTACCGAAAATCGACCATTGCACGGCCGTTTATAAGTAGGGTACTTGTTGTCCGGTAATGTCGTTGTCTCGCAAAATGGTTTCGGATAACCAATCTTGCATCTTCTACCATCCCAGCATTTGTATCTTTGGCAGGGACCGTGCAACATATGATGTGAGACCAGGTGAAATAGATCAGGTTCTTGGTCAGGGTCTGGGAGTTGTGCCGAAATTAAACAATCAACCATTTCGGGACTCGAGGGCCTAGATTCTGCGTCCAAGAATAAGATCAAATGCGCATGCGGTAGTCCTCGTTTTTGAAACTCGATGGAATAAACATAGGCGGTGAATTGACCTAGGCGTCCCCATTTTGTGACGTCGGCAAGCATTGCATGGAAACGTAGGTGGAAAGCTCGCGCCACAAGATCGGGTCGGTCCTCTGCAATTTGCCCGTCGTCGAGTGCTTCGACGATTTCGCTCCATTGTGGATTCGCCGTCATCGTTATGAATAGGCTTGGGTGACCAAATTCGGCCACTAAGCTCATGGCATCCTGATACAGAGCTTGCATGTTACGAGGACCACCAATGAAAGTGGACAGTAAAACCACATGCCTACCAACGACTTCTTCCTCGACTTCATTACCAAGGGCCTCCACTATCCCGCTGTAAAGTTCCGCTCGTAATTCTTGTTGATGAAATCGAATAAAATTCAATCGAGCATGTTCCACACAAACATACATATCTACGACAAATTCTTGAAAGAGCCGTCCTGAAGCTAGTATTACCGAATAGGCTGGACGTTTAAATAGGAGGAAGGCGAACCACTTGAGGCAAGTCACCGTACCATCGGGGTCTAATTTCAAAACAAATAGTTAATATTCAATATTTTTTTAAAATTCAGAATTCGCCTTACCATCTTCTGTTGGATGGGTATAATTATCATGCCACATTTGGGATCCATAAGGGAACAACAATGGATATCGAAGGGCGAAATAAGCCGTGTGTAGTTCGGAAATTGGCTCAACCACTCCCGATCGACGTCGTAAAATGATGTCGCGTCCACACCGGCCAATCTCACCATCTCCTTCGATTATCGCGGCGACCTCGTTCGCAGTGGGACGGTTGTATCGACGACGATCGGTCCCAGGGACTGTAAGTGTGTTGAGCCTTAAAGTTCGAACAGGGCCTTCCTCGTTGCAAATCTCCGCAGCCGATCGGAACAATTGGGCATAGGGATTGACATCGTACATAAATTCTTGTAGTTGTAGCATGATTTCAGGATCCAGACGATCAACTCTAGTCGCGGCAATTCTTTGACGAGCTTCATTTTCACCGCCTCCTCCATAGATGTAGATTTGAGCAAATCCAGGATGACCGCCGGGCAATGTCATCATCGATCCCATTCGGTGGAACATCTGCCCTTGGATTCGAAAGATGGTGTGTCCCCGTTGGCCTAAAACAGTCTCGTCGATCTTTGCACCAAGAGACGTGAAAGACAAACCATTGTTATATTTCTGAATGTTGTCCCGGAAACTCCTAGAAGCTGCAAACACAATATCAATAAATGCCTCCATGTTAGACACAAGCTCCCACGTACCGGCGTCAGTTCCATGCAAAAGAGCTTTGTAAAAATCTGGGACTTGTTCCCCAACATCCTCAGGAAAATACCTCAGAGGCAAATCTACTTGCCCATGGTTGCAGCAATTTCGAAACGTGGTTGACACCACATTGACATCCTTAACTCTGCGCTCCGCTTTCCATCTTGATGCCCCACAGCCAGTGCACCGGTCGTTCTGCGGTCCCAAGGTGAAAGGTATTTCTCCTCGAAACCAATGGCGTAGATTGGCTTCAGATCCGAATTCTTCTGCTCGGATTGCGAGCCCGTGGTTCTGTCGTCGAACTGCCACGCGACGAGGCATGAAACTTGTGCTTCGAATAGAATTGCCTTGGCACTGTTGATAAACAATAACAAAATAATAATATAAGCCAATGAGATTAGGACAAATCAACGATTTTGGTAACTTGAGACATAACCACTGGAGATGCACCGTTTCCCTAATCAAATTGCGTTTTCAAAGCAGATTGTTCTCCTTGGAAAGTTCCGTCCCAGGCCCAGGCGCTCAAAAGCTACACTCTCCTTTCCCAAGGTATGAAACTTGATCATCCTCAGAAACAGGCGTCTGAAATTCACTATTCGGTAACAGCTATCAAGCGAGGCAGTTCTTTCCATTATCCAAGGAAATCCTTTGTTACAAGATTGAACGTCTTGAGTTTCTTCGGGTAAACGAACTTTCCGATCATTTCAATCGTTAAGTACATCAATTCACAGTTATTGAACTCGGGATCGTCTATAATTTCGTCTGATAATGAATGGTCGAGTGGATCAGACACCAGGCCGCCAATTTGTCAATCCAACCGTAAATCCATTTTCACATACATCTTGACTTCATACTCGGGTCCAATTCACATGTCACAAGCATTACGCTTCAAGTTTTGTGATATTGAACAAACAGAAATAGGCAAGGTCAGATAATTGTTTCAAATTCCATAGCTTGCACCAATTCCAATTTTGGATGCTTACCAATACCTGTTAGTCTCCGAATCTCAGCTGCCGCGCAATAAGGTCGCATAACCCATCGTTCCTTACTCCTTATTATTGAAGTTGTCTAAATGTCCACCCTATTATGGGTTTGGCGGGATTCAATTCAGTGTTTAAAAGTATCCGGACTGTAGTTTCCGGGTTATACTCAGTTGTCTGAGACTTGTTTTCATATACACGAGAAATACATACTCAATTGCGTTAACTTGATTCACCACGTTGCCCACACACGAGATTCGCTTACGGTTTCCTCGATTGGTGGATATTGACAGTTTACGAGTCGGTTGAATATTCACGCGTCCCTTTCCTAAGACGAATTTTTTCATGTCGGAACTACCAATTCCATAGGGAAGCGATTGGGGTCCTCAAAGTCAACCAAAGTAACTCATGCGCAAAGTCAGTTTTCAACTCTGTGTCACCGGTTCATTAGCAATCCATCAACTCTCATCGATTAATTTAAAGTGTGTCTACATTAACCATTTCACAGGTAACCTTGCCTTCGCATCCTATTTTAGTTGGTGCGCTTGCCACTGAGACTGTTCTGTTGCCCTTCAATTCCTCGATTTTAACTTACAAAATCCAAAAAATAGAGACAATATATAAGTTATTAATCCCTAATCAAATTTTCCAACCAATTTGGTCTTTCGGTTCATTACGTTACCTCCAACCATGAAACCGTTACATAATCTTCTTGATGATAAAAATATATGTTCTTCCAATCCCGGGTCAGAAGCGGCACGTCACATGTACAATAAACATAAAAACTTGATCGAAATCTTTACTAAGCTTCGCGGAAGTGGGGGTGAGATGGGGTATTGGTACACCATCGATTTCAATACATGCTTTGCCTCACATTCAATTATGCAAGTCGATTTCAACACACCTTTATCCAGCTCGAACGCGGAATCATTGTCCGAAATTGCGCCCCCTTTCAATTTCGATTACCCAGGTTCCTCCTCACCGAAGTACGTTCCCTTGAATTCCTTAAATTCAAATACTGGCTTGGGCTGATCATCGTTATAAATTTTAGTGTTGGAGCTAGTGACAATGCCCTCATTTGTAGGTTTTTTTATGAGGTCCTACGTATTTCAACACATTAATCGATGCCTTTGGGTTTTGCAGCGCACACGTTACCTTTCAGTCCCCACATAATGAATCAGCTCCCTTACCCCTATGCTCAAAACTTGGGTACCAGATCTCTATCAATTGGTGTCGAGTACCAACGACGTGGTCCAATTCATGTCCATTATGTGGTGGATATTCCAGGCTGTGCTACCAACCCGTTGAACGCAAAACTAAAGAGCAGACTATGAGTTAAACTTTATATTTCAAACTGAGGTCGTTCCTTGTTATGGTTTCCTCTTTTGCAATAACCGATTGCGTGTATCTCCGAGATTGGCCTACAGTTAATTTCGTTTTTGATGTTTTCTTGTCAACTGATGGTCTTGTACTGGGTCTGATTTTTTATATTTCTTCCCTGTTCTTCGATCACGCGATGCGGTTCAAGACTAAATTACAAGTTCAAGCAAACAGCGGCATTATTTGCAAAGATATCAAATTGAAACTTGATCTTGTCTTACCGCTTCAGCTTAGTCCCTGAGATTGATCTGCCAAGCATGTTCAAAATATCAATCATGGCCAAAGATAATGGTCTAAATTGCATTTCAGTTTCATTTTTAAGGAGGATGCTAAAACTTGAGAAAACAAAATTCAATTCACTAATATCCTGACAATGAAGTGTATAATGTGCACGTCAGAGCCTGTTGCGCTTAAACTCGATCTCCTGTCGGTAACACTTGACCACTTTTCTTTTGTACACATCCCATTCTGCAGCCGATTTCCCTACTTTCATTGCAAGCAAGCCTTCAATCCGATTGAGCAGGGCCTCGTTGATTTGCAATGAACATCCAAACCGTGTGATTGGGGAATCTTTGGGAGAAATAGAGATACCTCCTTCGTCGTAAGTAATCAAAGGACAGGTATGATGAGTTTCATCCGATGCCCATATACTCTCCACAACTCCGTCACACAAATCAAGAGCCAACTCTGCATGATACTCGTCAAGAATTAAACATGTTCCAGTTATCTCTCCCAGGTAATCAGATGTCTCGATCTGATGAAGCACCCCCGTAGTTCGATTGACTGTACAGAACAAAGCATATGTATAGGCACTGACGTCTCGATCGCGATGTGGATTATTGTTGAATCCATCACGTGTGACCACCACGCTTGATGCAAATACATTAGCATTTGGGGAACTTGACCATTCTTTGTCCGAAAAAGATGGGATCTCGTACTTAATGGCCAGGTCGCGGTTTGATTTAAAAGCGTGCAAGCACAAGGTTGACATCCACTCCGCTAGGGTTTCATTGATCAACGCAAGATCTAGCATTCTTTCTTGATCTTCCAAAATCAGTTTTTCACTTCTACCAGTTTTTGCATTCAAGGCCGTCACACCTACACAACATGATTTAAGAAATGTTAGTATTATGCCCGAGGACAAAAATCAATTCAATGACCAATTCACTCAACCCATTTTACGCCCTTTGTCGCAACCCGGTCTGAAACCAGCAGATCTCATTTCCCCCCAATCCGTCAGACCCTGAACTGAACCATTAAGCTCAATTGTTCCACGTGCCAATGCATGATGATATAAAGTATGAACCACGAATTCCATATCTTCTCTCTTTTCATTTTCCATCTCACAAAAACGGCTAAAGCGGTTCACTTGAAGGATTTTCCAAGTATCTGCGTCAAGCAATACCGAATTACCATGACTGATCTTTAGCCGATTTCTTTCAGGGAGAGAACCGAGTTTGTATTTCTTTAAAAAGTACAAATGCAAGTCCGTAGGAATTCCAAAACGCTTGCTAAGCTCGAGACGCAGGGATCGGAACACTGTTTTTCTTAATTCGTTTCGCTCAGGATGGTTTCCGGCCTCGCGTTTGAGTTTAACTTGAGCTCTGATTTCCCCCCGGCTCTTACTCCTTTTCTGGTTGTACTTGAGACTGCTAGTTGAGCGTTTCTTCTTTGCTTTTGCTTTTGCCCTTTTATTAAGAACTAGGAAATTAGCGGCGGGCGCCGCGGACAACTTGAAGTTAAAATGAGGATTCTGTGAAATACAGGCATGTCAAGCGCAACAAAGCTGCAGGACTGCACGAGGGTGAGGCCCAAAGCAATAGCTCATTGTAATTCAGCATGGAGAGTGGGAAATCAAAGTGCAAAATATACAAACTTCTTTGCTGATAGCGGGTAAGTAGGTTACATCTGGGGAATTTCATGTATCAAGACTGCTACAAACATAAGTCAATCTCGAAGGATAGGGTGGTATACAATATTCTTTGTAGCAACAGCACCTGTTTCTGATGTAATACAAACTTGGACATTCGCCGCACTTGTGCAACGCGATAGAGCCACATACAACTGACCATGTGTAAAAACAGGATTTGGTAATAAAACTGAGACTCTTTGCAAACTTTGACCTTGTGACTTATTGATGGTCATACACACCATGTAAATATCTGTGTAGCACGTTGACGTGCACACACGAAAGCCTCTCCGTAGAACCTGTAACGACCCATCAAAGAGGTGCCACATCAAGCGCATCTTCCCCTTATCACCTGGGAGGTTGAAAGGCAGTTGACCCCTGCTGACAACAAAGGATTATGAAAATCCTTTGAACAAATCACAAAGCACAAAGGGTGCTCAACAGTAATCTCAGTCTCATTTCAACCAAAAGACTTTGAGATTTATTTCAAAACTCTCCGTGTGTGCACGTCGACGTGCTACACGGATATTTACATGGTGTACAGAAAGCAGGCATTATAGGGAATTGATAACGATAAAAGGGGATAGGGCAATCTAAATTTCCTTCATGATGAAGCCTGATCTTGGGAAGACTTACTATGTTGCCCATCATCTCTCCATTGAGGATACGGCATTGGAGAGCATGTGTTTCGCAATGGGTGACCAGTAGCCTTGTTCCATTACACAGTCCATCACCTAGGTTGAGGTTCCGTATAAGCATCACTGTAGCCCCCACCTTGAGTTTCATAACATGAGTTGGAAAGCCTGCAAAGTCGAAAGAGTTGAGGATGTTAGGGGTAACAGGGTCCAAGAAAGCCTGATCCATCTCATCGATTGAGGATGATATGTGATAATCTCCCGGAAGTTGATCCATGACAAAGTCGTTAATCAGTCGGACGGTTGAATTCAAAGGGGTTATGATACATCGGCTTGAGTAAAGGTTTGTCAAAGCACTCCAGTCTTGATATTGGATCAGGTTAGCTGCTGCGCCATACTCATTACTGAGGAGTTGATGATCGCAAAGTGATGGAGGACGAACAACGGTCACATTGCAGTGCTTGATGGCTATGGTTTCACAATCGGCAGTCTGAAGACGGCCGGAGCCCAAGTCCAAAAGCCAATTTGCAAAGTTCATGTTATGAGGATTGGGACGCGCATTGGTACCACCAAGTCGGATGTTGACTGTAAGTGCGAATCTATGGACGAATCTCCAGAGATGAGAAGCCTTCAATGTTGCTGAAGCTTGCTCCAATAGATTACTACGCCGAACGACAGGAAGAATTTGCCTGAAGTCACCGGCAAACAATACGACTTTACCGCCAAATGGCAGGTCGATTTGTGTGAGATCACGAAGGGTACGGTCAACAGCTTCAATTGCGTGACGATGTTGCATTGCAACTTCGTCCCAGACTATAAATTGGACTTCCTGAAGGTGGCGTCCTAACCCCTTGGTGGCTGAGATGGCGCATACTGAGTCTTCATATATCGGAATAGGTATCTTAAAAGCGCTATGAGCAGTTCTGCCATGGAGCAACAATAGAGCTGCAATACCCGCCGCTGAGACAGCCTGAAACTTGATACCATGTCCGTTACAGAAATGTAGAATGGTGTTAAGGGTGAAAGTCTTCCCTGTTCCACCAGGTCCATCGAGAAATGCTAGATAAGGTTCGGCCGATATGATTGCATTGCAGACCGAGTTGATTACCGCACTCTGCTCGCGGGTCGAAGCTTCCAGCATAGCTAAGTACTTTTGAGAACTTTCATCGGGTGAGACATGGTTGCAAGGATTAGGTCCAGTGCCATCTGGTAGTCTGAGATCGAAAAGTAAAGCCTGGTCCACTGCTTGCAATCCAACGGCATTGAGAGTAGTTTCCATTTGTATTAAGACTCTCTCTAATAAGTGAAGTGAGTAGTTTTGGATATGAGCCTCGCTTGGAACCACATGTGGGTTCAAGCGTCGTATCTCCCGTTCACAGTCATCAGATAAGTTGATCACGTGGTTGGTCCAAAGCCGGAGGGGATCAGCTGGAGGACTATGACAAAGAATAATTGCAAACATATGACGTAATTGACGGCCAGTCTTCCATCTGGCTGCTTCAATCAGGCTCTTGTGATAATGATGATCGCCTAATAAGAGGCCCAATCTGTCGGCTGCTTCACGAAATGAGCCTAAAACAACTCCATCCACTGTTCGAAGATACTGAAATGAAGTTGGACCGGGTATGTGTGAGAGTAAGAGTCGGAGGTAATACACATCTCCTCGCTTGACATTTGCAAAGTAAACTTGGCCAATCGAAATGAGGGAATTCTGTCGGGGAGTGAGTCGTTTCTTCTTCTCGTTCCATACAAAATACTTGGTAATTTCTTGGTACTTAATGCTTCTGACAGTATCATCCGAGTCCTTGAGTGGTGCATTTTCTCGGCAGAGTCTGAAATACTCGGTCAGAGTGGTTCGCTCGGCCCGACCGGTATCCATAGCTTGACAAAGTCCTGCTTGATTCATAAAATAAATTGTCTGGCTACCCTCAAGATGGAGACTGAGCCGTTGAACTGGTGGATATCTTCCTGATAGTGGATACTTCAGGAGACGCCACACAGCTAGACACAAAAACATTTCATGTAAGAGTTAGACACATGCTATAGTTCAAATCAAGATATAAAAGATTATGACTTACCCTCACATGCGGACAGGTATCTAGCATTCACAAAAGCTAGAATCTCGTCCGGCTGGTCCTGGTCCTCAACTCCTGCTACAGTACGGTCATGTCCTTTGAGAATGTATTTGAACAAATACTTGATTGCCCTTATGCTATGAGCAACCTCGACATTGATGTGGCAACCATACTTTAGTAGCAAGTAACGGTTATGAGGTACCACATTTCCATTGTCGTAGCGATAATCTCCTTTGATAAAGTAACGTCCATTATCTGGTCTTTTGTAAGAGGGATAAGAATCATCGTTGAGTTCAGTCGTTGCACGGAAAGGGCGTGGGTAACCAAGTCGGCACTCGGATCCGTTCCAGCACTTGTACTCCTGGCAGGGTCCGTGTAGCATGAACTTGGTGACAGCCCTGAAGATTCCAGGCTCGGTATTGGGATCGGGGAGCTGGGCGCTGATGAGACAGTCGACTTGACTGGGAGTAGTGGGTCAATCGTTTTGTTCAAGGAAGAGAATGAGATGTGCATGAGGAAGCCCACGCTTCTGAAATTCGATTGTATAAACGTAAGCCACGAATTTTCCAAAACGTTCGTACTTAGTCACATCATCCAACATGGCATGATATTTAATGTAGAAGACTCTGGCCACGAGATCCGGTCGGTCTTGAGCTGTTTGGCCTTCGTCCAGTGCTTGAGTGATCTCGTCCCATTCCGGATTAGCTGTCATGGTAATAAAGAGACTGGGATGTCCATACTCAGCAACGAGACTCATTGAGTCCTGGTAGAGCTGCTGCATGTGGCGTGGACCTCCAGTAAAAGATGAAGGTAGCACTATGTGTCGTCCTACAACTTCATCTTCAAGTTCGTTACCTAACGCTTCGACAGCACCATTGTATAGCTCCGCCCTGATCTCCTTCTGGTGGTATCGAAGGAACTGGAGTCTTGAGTGTTCCACACAGACGTACATATTGACTGCGAATTCTTGAAAGAGACGTCCTGATGCAAGAATTACAGAAAAAGGTGGTCGTCTGAAAAGTAAGTAGGCAAACCATTTGAGATTTGAACAATCCCCTTCAGGGTCTGAATTGCGCAGTGAAATACATCAATTTTATATATTGAACATGAGGCTAAGGAAAGTGACTTACTTGCTACAGTCGGATTGGTATAGTGTTCATCCCACATTTGGGAACCGTAAAGGAAAAGCAACGGGTAACGTAAAGCAAAATAGCCAGTGTGAAGCTCAGATATCCTTTGAAGATCACCTGACTGCCTCTCAAGAACGATGTCCCTCGCTTTCACACCTATGTTGCCATCTCCCTCCACTATGGCAGCAACCTCGTTGGCTGTAGGTCGATTGTATCGGCGGTGGTCTGTGCCGGGGGCTGAGAGAGTTTTGATCCGGAGTGTACGTGTATCACCATTGTTACAAATCTGAGCAGCAGAACGGAATACTTGCGCATAGGGGTTGTGGCGAGTCATGAATTGCTGGAACTGAAATAAGATCCAAGGGTCTAATTCACTATGGCTGCGCTGAATTCGAAATAAGGTTTCTTCTGGACCTCCACCACCGTAGATGAAAATTTGTGCAAAACCGGGGCTGTTATCTGGTAAAGGCATAAGGGATCCGATATTGTGTGACAGCTGTCCCGAGATCCTGAAGGTGTAGGTGCCAAGTTGACCGGCCACACTCCTGTCTACGTTCGCACCGAGGGAGGTGAAGGATAAAGCATTGTTGTACTTTTGAATCTTTGATCTGAACAACACCGAAACTGTGGTAGTAGAATGGGTCAGTGAAGGATGTTGGAAATTGTGTGTGAGATGACTAACCTTCGTCTGTGCCAGATAAGAGGGCTCGAAAGAAATCTGGTACCTGTTGACCTACATCTTCCGGAAAATACTTCATCGGTAATTCAATTGACCCTTGTTGGCAACAATTGGAGTAAGACGTCGTGGTAGCGTTGGCGTCCTTAACACGTCGCTCTAACCTCCAGCGGTATGCGCCACAGGACTCGCACTGGTCATCCTGAAGGCCTATACTATGGGGAAACTCCAGCGGTAATCGATTTAGGAGCATGGTTTCGGAGCCAAGTGCCTCAGCACGGACAGCAGGACCCTTAGGGTGTCGTCTAGGAGGCATTATATCAAGTTATTGAAGTGTTTCGATGAATTTTTTGCAAAATAGCCAAGTAGGATTCAGGCAAATTCGATGATTTAGGAATGAGTGAAAAGGAAAGCAGCAATTAGTATCTAGTACGTGATACCAGCTATATATATAGGCTGATCTGGTGGACTCCAAGTACGATTATGAGGAAACATGGATTATAACATCCTTACCTATCTTCAATGATCCTGGATTCGGCATGAGATGCAGAGCATGAAAAACATAAAATACGCTTCAATATGTCGAACCATACATAATCTGACCGATGTGTCGAACCGTCCTCTTTGTCATAAGATTGAAGTGTGTTATTCATGAAACGAAGAATTACCATATCATGAAGACCGATGATATGACGTAAGTAGAGCAAGTGACACTTCTTGGTGGCCGGTCCAGTTTTCAGAACATGACATTGGTCGATGGTAGTACCGATACGAATTGACTGATGGCGGTGAGAGTGGCGGGCGACATATCGCTCCTGGATGTCGAGCAGTTGGTGAATATGCGTCAAGATGTCACAAAGATCGTCTTGAGGATGTGTAAGAGTATCGGCAGACATGGAGAATACAATCCTTGGATGTAAAATGCCGTGTTTGACATTTGATGTCAGAATCGAGATGAAGCTGTTGATGATTGTTTGACATTTGTATATCGACAATGACAAAGTTCTTTGATCAAAGTAATCTTGAATCAGATTGTGAACCATTTGACATTGTTTGAAAATGAATAATGATACGTCCTTGGATTGGTAAAGTGAGAAGGTATTCGATCGTTGATTTGCTTTGATGGCTTCGGCACAGTGAAGTGGAGCTTCACATCTTGTCCTAAAGATGGCCATATTCGTACCAGTTGAAACCATCATAGGTCGCAATAGTACTGGATCCTGTGGCACTCAGGAATCCAGCACACTTGCTGTTATAGTGATGATTGGTTGATTCGAAGTGGTGAGTTGGTATCAAGAGGTATTGGGATTATAGTCGAGAATGATATCGCTATCAAGTCATGTGATTACGCTGTGTATTGTGGGCGCTCGTATGAGGCACGCAAGGAGAGATGCCGTAGTCCATGAACACGCACCTCCAGGATTCTAATAACCAATGCGGAATCCGCTGGGATTAGTAATGAAATGTACGAATACGTCTATGTGACGTATTTATAATTTCCTATTTAGATGTTCTTTAATCTAGAGGATATCCCAGCGGACTCGTCATTAGGGACTGGGCGAGGTTTCGACCGACAGAGGATTTAGCCACCTCAATAAGCGCATGAATCCCCTGGAAGTCGACCGAAGCGATTTATGCAAACAGGAGGTGTCAGGATTACTCCTACAAGCCCAAGAGACCCGACTGTCAGATGATTTCACCAAAACCAGAGCGAGAGCAACCTGTGAAAGGTATATCTGGCTATCCAGAAGCGTTCTGCCATAGGCTTTTGGCTGAGGTGGGGGGGGAAATTTTGAATAGACAGCTCGTCTTAGGGAGGGTCATGCCTCAGGATGAGCCCCGGGCAGTCGGGCTCGGGGACCGGCCAGAACGACCCACCGAGCAAAATCTAAGAGCCCTGCCCGGCTTCCGGCCCGAACCCGCCTCAACGGGGACTCCTCCCCGGACACGTAGACCGGTCCCCGCCACCGAGAAAACGGTGCCCTACCGATATGTCGGTTCTCCGTCAAGTCCCCGCGAGTTCTCGATTGGACTGACCTTTTCCTGGAAATATTTCAACATGAAAAGCTTGATTGGTGAAGTGCCCGCTGCTACCCATGGCTGATCATGCATGTATAAACATACTCACAAGCAATTTGCTCCAAATAAGCTCATAAAAGGAAGCTATTGCTGCTCACTGTTTGGGTTTCTATTGAACCTAAGACTTTCCTGGACATACATTCACCCTAAAAGATTAATTGTGAGCTGCCCAGTGCTACTTCATCACAAGTAACGTGATTGAATTACGCTCATAAAAGCAATCTGTTGTGTATCTTCTTCCTTTCAGCGCTTGTCTGTCTCACTTTGTCTCATCTTGCTAGCCAATTAGTTTTCATATTACCATTTTAAATCCATCATCCATCATCCATCATCCTCATTATTTGTTCTTTTTCTTTGCTCTCAACACTTTTCAGATATTACCTACCATCACATTCTCCTCACTAGTTCAATAATACAGTGTTCTTAGATAAATGGCTTCTGATTCTCCTCACTCCTTGTCTCAAGACACTGTAGCAAAGCGTGGCAAGTCTTCGTATGTATGGTGCCATTTCACCATCCAAGGCGATAAGACAGTGTGTTCAGTAGTGTTATCTAGTGGAAAGATTTGTGGAAGGTCCCTTGCCCGCGACAAGACTTCTAGTACAAAGGCAATGTCAGACCATCTTCAGAGACTGCATGGATTGTACAACCCAAAGCTGGTGGAGCAGTCAAGTCAAGTAACCCTGGAGGGGTCCTTCAAGAGAATCAAGACTCAGCACGTGGTAAGACTTTTGTGATCTAATCAATTGTGTTATTTCTTGAGACTCACGATTGTGTTGAATCTTTTGTTTGAACAGGTTTCACTGAATGTTGAATCTCTCAAGACGGCGATATCTTATTTCATGGCTGAAGCCGACCTGCCTTTCTCTTTGATAAACCGTCGATCTTTCAAAGATCTTTTGAAGCTTTGTAATTCTCAGACAGCAGGAATGATGGTGAAACGTCACACCATAGCCAGACATACAATTTCGATCTTTCACTTCTACCAGAACTACATCAAGAATAGTGTATTCAGCAAAGCGAAGTATATCTCCTTTACACAAGACGGTTGGACATCACCTAATCAACGGTCTTACATGTCGATCACAGCTCATTTCATCACAGACAACTTTGAGCTTAAGTCACTGACCATTGGTATCCCCCGTGTTTCAGGTGAGTTATCTTCAGGTATTGTCTTACTCTCCAGCAAACCTCACTAGGCTAACATCTTTCAATCCCATCCAAAACTGAATGCAGGGCGTCATGTGGCTTCTAATTATGCTGATCTGTTTGTAGATTACTTGAAGAAGTACAACATTGTCAATGCACTATCAACAATCACTGCTGATAACGAAAGCAAGAATAACAAGATTGCAAAACTCATACACGAAGCTCCCGAAATTGAAGACTTTGATCCTAACGAGTCGCTCTATGGTTGTGTCGCACATGTCATTAATCTTGCTGCTCACAAAGGTCTCGATGTATTTGGAGTTGTTGAAGATGAGCTTGTTGGTCACTCAGATACCTCCAGCGGACCGATGGGCCTAGCCAATCTGGTTGATCCTGCTGATTCTCGCACAGCAAACCTTTCAACAATCAGGTCAAGATGTCACGGCCTTGTGATCTGGGTACGTAGCAGTCCACAGAGATCGGAGGCCTTTGGAAAGACTGTTACACTACTACGAAGTCTTGCTCTTAATTCAACTGATCCAGCTAATCAAGGGTTAGCAGATGAAGCTGAGGTGAACTCTGCACTTGGTTCCCTCCTTCCCGAGCCAACCGAGAATATAGATGAAATCGATCCGATCTCCAAGGGAACTGCTGTAGCTCTGACCCCTGACGTTGAAACTCGCTGGAACTCGACTTACCTGATGTTTAGACGCCTTCTCCGCCTCCGAAAAGCTGTCCAACAGTTCTGTGAACGTCCTGGTGCTACCAAATTTCAGCTCTCAGATATCGAGTGGACTTATGTCGAGCAAATGTGCAATTTTTTGGAGCCGCTCTCCGAAGCTACAAATGAGCTTTGTCGATCAAAGTTTCCTACACTACACACTGTGATACCAATCTATATTGCAGTGATGGGTCGATTAAACAACGTGAGTCCTGGAGTTCTTAACCTTCATGATTGGAAGAATACAAAAAGCTTATTTGTTTAATTGTATGTACATTCAGGTTATGACAACTTATGACAATAACCACTTGATTCCTGCCGCTCGAGAGATGGTTGAAAAGCTCGAGACCTATTTCAAGAACGTTTTATTCAAACCCGGTGCTATATGTGCTACTATACTGGATCCTCGACTCAAGATGACATTCTTTGAGGTGTGGTTGCTACTACCTAGACTTAATGTATCCTGCCTGTGTTTAACCTGACTAACATCATCATCTCTCTTAATCTTCTACAACAGGCCAAATCCAATATCTTTAATCGTTATGCCACATCTCCTACAAAGCTGAAAGAAATCTTCTGTGCCGAAGCCTTGAAGTTTAAATCACCTGATCCCGACGCACGTCAAGCTACCAAGAGCACCAGTCAATCCTACTTTGGGGCTGAGATCTATGGGACAAACACAGGGCCGGCTTCATTTGACAGCGAGCTTGGCCGATATCTAAGTGATCTGGTTGAGCCCGCAGATGCCGACATCCTGCTTTACTGGAAAAGCAAAGTTACAAGCTACCCTATCTTGAGTGAGATGGCCCAGAAATACCTGGCCATCCCTGCTACTAGTTGCCCGTCTGAAGGTGCCTTTTCGAAAACAAAGGTGATTTTGACTCCTCAGAGAAACAAGCTCTCCGACTTGAGTGTAGAAGCACTACTGTGTCTCAAGGAATGGTATCGAGTTTTTGGTCCTTTGTATGTATCACCTGGTTCACAGGCAGAACCTATAGCTGTGATTGAATGATGTCTATCTATTCAGTTTCATCTCCTCACCTTTCCCTCAACTATTGATCATGATTCTTTTGTCATCTCGATTTCTAACTCTTTATCGTTTTTATTATCTCGATTTCTAACTCTTTATTGTTTTTATTATCTCAATTCATAACTCTCTTTGAACACTGTTAATCACTTCCTTGTATGTATCAACTGCTTGTTCACCCATCCTTGCTTGAATATGTATCATAACTGTTCATAATCTATGTACGGTTTCTCGGTTCTCCGAGAAAAATCGGGGATCTTGATACCTCAGGCCGGACCCCGATCCGACGGAGCCGGGTCGGTGTCGGGGTTCTCAGAGCTCTAGCCCGGCTACCGTATCGACGGTACGGTAGACCGGGGATCTCCGCCTCCGCCGGAGCCGGGGCTCATCCTGAAGCAGTAGGCGTGACATTTTCAATTTCCAGACTCGGTTGAGGATCCGGTGGTTCAAGCAACGTTGGGCCGCTGCGCTGCGTTGTTGGCAACGGGGGGTTGCGCAACAACGCAGCGGTTTTTTTTTGGGGCATGTAAGGACAACGCAACTGGCAACTGTAGGCGCCGTTGCGTTGCTGACAGCGTGCAACGGTTTTGCGGCCGTTGCGCAAGACGCAACGACGCAACGCATGCAGGAAGACATATTCAGACTTGTTTTATCAAGGGGCAGTAAACTAACCTACTACAACGCGTGTTTTGTACTTTTTTTACTTCTGCCACTTGTACTTGAAATAAGAAAAACAAAAATCAAACCTTTTTTTATCAACTCATTTGGCATTCAGCTACTTGCCCTTGCCAATACCGTTTCTTCCCCCAAATGATTCAATTACACCATTTACTTTGGTGTACTTATGTGCGAGAGGAACCCCTTGGCGAATCCACAGGCGGGATCCTACATTGTACTCGATCGTTCGAGGAACCAGACGGACACGGTCAGACGAACAAATGTCGGCCGCTGCTGAGAAAGTCCGTTCGACAATTGCAGAACTGGCCGAGAGACTCAAATAGTCACGCGCCAAAGACGCCAATACTGGGAATACGTTGGAGTTCACCTATGGGGTATGAGTAAATCAATATGCCAATTGATAACCAAGAGAATAGTGATCAACAATATGAAGGACCACTTACACTCCACCATGGTAAAATCGCTTTGCATTCTCTTGCATTGTCCGCAGAAGCCATCGGATGAGTCCCCTTCAGGTAGGC